CCCAGGAAATGACCAGATTCTGGGCTTTAATGTATGAACTCTGGCAACTCCCCTCTCTAGCTGTAGGAAGAAAAGAAGTATAATGTTTTAAATTAAGTGCTATAAATATAACCAGGGGTTTTGTTTTACTTAGATTTTCCTCTAAGTTTAATAAACAAATTTGAAGCATTCAATTAAAGATGCAGAAAATATGCAAGAGAAGTACAACTAATCCCATTAAATGTAAAATGACATATAAGTAGAAATCTTTTGTTGTTGAATTCCTGCTGATAAGAAACAGAAGAGATGTTTAAGGAAGCCTTGGAAAGTAGGTAGTAAATGACATTTATCTTTGATCTGAAATGCCTAAAAATATGACTTTGTCTGTACAGCTGAACTGTGACCTTCCAGCCTGCCAATACAGATAAACACACATGTTCTCAGGTAAATCATGCAGAAGAGACATTTCCTGAGGACTGGAGAAGCCCCACTTGTAGGAAATTATGGTTATTAACTCATTAGATTCTCTGTGTCTCTGTGTTTTTGTATGCAAGTCTCCACACAGCTGTAAGGATAATTAGTTTTCTTTGGCTTGGTGAGTATTAAGGAGTATTAAAATGCTTAGTTGGTATGGACAACATATTCATGGGCTGGGACAAAACCAGACATAAATGCAGGCAAACCCCCAAAGTCTGACAGAATCCTGATTCCAGGGTAGATGGGATGGGTTTGTTGTGTTTGGATGCATGAAGTCAGATTTTTTTGTGACAAATGTTACTGACTTCTGGTGAGTTGATTTGCTAAGTCAGAAGCAGATTAAAGGGTCATTTTCCTGCTCTGAATTAGATTTCGGTAGTGCAGGTGTGGATGTGCACCCCATTAGTCTGGCAGGAGATTTCACACAGGAGATTCTTTACCTCAGGGATACCCTGGATTCCTGCATGTTACTGTATTTGGGTGGTCAAATGGATAACAAGTCACTGTCATTGTCCCATGTCCTGTGTTCAGCCTAATAAATTGATCAGAGGCCTGGAGCACCTGTCCAGGAAAGGCTGAGAGAATTGGGATTACTCAGCCTGAAGAAAAGAAGCTTCAGGGTGACCTGACAGCCTCTTCCAGCCCCTGAAGGGAGTGCACAAGATGGAGAGAGACTGTTTAGAAGGGCCTGGAGTGACAGGACAAGGGAAATGGTTTCAGACCCACAGAGAGCAGGTTGAGATCAGTTATGAGGAAGAATGTAAGGTAAGTAGTGAGGCCCTGGCACAGGCTGCCCAGAGAAGCTGTGCCTGCCCCATCCCTGGAAGTGTTTAAAGCCAGGCTGGATGGGGCTTGGAGCCTCCTGGTCTAGAGGAAGGTATCCCTGCCCATAGCAGGGGGTTGGAACTGGGTGAAATTTTGTGTGAATCCAGAGCTTCCCTCTGGCTGCCCTGGCAGGTCTGGGACCCTGGCAGGAGTCAGGAACCCCCCTGGACAGAGCCCCCAGAGACACTGGCTGTGATCTCTGTCCATGCAAAAGAGTTTTCAATCTTACAGGATCAATTACCAGCTCTGAGTGTTTGATATGAGTAATAATTAAGTGTGGCACGGGTGCAAAAGTAAAATTTTAGGATTCTAGATGAGGGGTCCAAAGGGGACAAGATGGAGGAAATTGGGTGTGCCTTGTCCTTTTTCTCCTTCTTCATGCCCTCCATGTCTCACTGTGGTGTTGGCATTTTTCTGTTGGTTCAGGCTGGGGACACACTGTCCAACGTAGGTGACAGATATTGGCACGTGATTGTAAATCCAGCCCAGGGAGTTTCTGGTATTTAATGTTTGTAACATCCCACTGAGGGCAGAGCCCCACACGCTGCCCTGCAGGACAGAGCTGGGCAGGGCAGCAGAACATGTGAGAGATAAACAGAATAAACAACCTTGAAACCAGCACAGACCAATGATGGCTTCTGCTTTGGCAGCGGGGCAGAAAGACAGAGACTTTCTACAATCTCAGAATCATCAATACCACAGATTCCGACAAAATTTGGGGTCCCTTCCAACACAGGCCATCCTATGATTTTATGTTTCTATGATCACATCAAAGTGGCCCAGCCATGCACTGAAGCTCCAGCTGTGCTGTGGTGGCCCTGCAGCCCACAGAGTTCTCACCCTCTACTCTTCAAAGTAATGTTTCTGCTATTCTTTGCTACAGGGTTCTCCCCAGCCAGAGCAAGGCTGGGTCAAACATGATTTGAGGTAACCTTCAGCTGTCTTTTTCCTACCAGGAACAGAAAAAGAGCATTGGGTCTGGGCCAGTGTTTGGAATGCATATTGTCCAGGTTTGTTGGGAGAAAGAGAGGATTTATTTGTCAAATGGGGCTTAATTTATTATGTGCAATGTGAAAGCTCACATTTTCTATTGCAGCAGAAAGACAATTGATTAATAATTTGGAAAAAGGCCAAGACACACATTTTCCACCTTTGTAGTTTATCATCTCAGAGAAACAAAAGTGGTATAAAAGATACCTGAACAAAACAATTTATTAAGCAGAAATGAAAGCTGGTTCATATTAATGCATTTATTACGAAAGAGCTGTCTAGGATATAGTAGTTACTTACAGGAAACATGTAAAAAGTCAAAAGCTGATACTTAGGACCATAGGAAATGTACAGAAAAGCTACAACTGATAAAACAGAGGGATTTTTACATTAATAATAACTTCAGAAGAACTATTTGAGACTCAAGAGGTTGAAGTCACTAAAACAATGTCAGCAGCTCCTGGAAAGAACAGAAAGTCAAAGCTTCTTCATCATTAAATACAAACTTAGGGTGAAAAGATGTGCACAGTGTCTTCTAGTTCTTGATTAAATATCACATTGTAAAAGCAGCCCTGTCATGTCCATGTGCCATGGAGGTTGAGAGATGCCAAAGATTTCATGTGCCAAACCTCTCACACAGATGGCTTCAGAGATGGTTCTGATGTGTTTTGCACACACATTTCTTGGGCTTTGTACATGGACCTGCTGCATCACTACAGAAAAGCTTAAAACAGGAATCCTACTTCCCAGCCTTGTTTTGCTGCCAGGCAGGAGAAAGTTTATCAGGCAGCAAAATGTGTCTTTTCAGCTTTTGAACCTAAAAGCAGAGCCTTATGTCTGCATGCACCACACACTATTTGTTTCATAAAATAGAAAATTGTACAAGCAACCTAAGAGAAGATGAAGAATCATTAAAGACTAAGAAATACAGGAGCTGCTGAAGTTAATACAGCATTCTTCATTACAGCTGCAGGGATACAGAGCAGCCAGTACCAGGGGTTTGCTGGCAAAACATTGGGGATCTCCCTCTAGAATGTCTGCTTTGTTTTCTCTTTAACCAGCAGGAAACCTTGGACTTCTCCTTTTCTTCTCCCCCATCCAGTGTCCTTGTCTCTTCTTCCAAGGGACATGGAATCCCTCTGAAATGCTTTTCCAGCACAGTTCCCCCTCCTTCTTTACCCTAAACATCTTTGCCTCTTCAGGTGGACATCTCTCATGATGCTGAGATTTAATCAGATCAGTGGTATTGGAATTGTTTGTGTGCTATTGTGAGGACTTGTGTGTGGCTAAGAGTCTTACAAGGGTGAGAGTCCCATGTTTTGTTACTGCACTTATAGGGTGTAGATATGAAAATTTTCATCTGATTTGAGGGCTTTAGCATCAGTGAGCTATCCCCTGATCACAGTTGTTAAAATACTTACCATGATACATTAAAATAGATATGCTGTTCCTATTCAAAATTGGCAGTATGTAAATTACAACAAATGTTCAAAGTATAAAAGGAAAGAAAACAACAAAGTCTTAAGTCTTTCTCTCACAGGAAAACCTAATTCTGTAGCATTTTATTTTGCTAGAAATTTGTCCTTGTCAGAGCAACATAGGCAGACATTTCAATCTGATTAACTCAATCTAATCAAAATAATGGAAACAAAGTTAAAACTTACTTCATCCTGCAAGCCTAAAACTGGGGCTAGGACTCCACTTTATATTTGCTTGTATAAAACACTGTGATCTGGAGAGAATATCAGGGTATTCTATGATTCTGTGAAGACCATGAATATTTCTGAGTCCAGACTGTGCTCCCTGATGAAAGCAGCCCTGCAGTGTCTCTGCCCAGGCAATTCAGTTCTTTCTGGTTTTGCTCTGGGGCTGTGTCTGCTGCTCAGCCACAGTGCATCCATACCTACACACAAACACACATGCTGGTTGGCCTCAGGCTCCTCTCTGGGATGCACCAGCTCAGAGTCACATAATGGGTCAGCTTGGAAGGGACCACAGTGGCTCATCTGGCCCAACCTCCCTGTTCAAGCAGAGCACACAGCATCCAGATGGTTCTGGAATATCTCCAGTGAGGGGAACCCCACAGCCTCTCTGGGCAATCTGTTCAGTGCTCAGTCACTGCACAGGAAAGAAGTTCTTCCCTGTGTTCAGGTGGAACTTCCTGAGCATCCATTCCTGGATTCCCCTCTTGTCCTGTTGCTCGGCACCACTGAGCAGAGCCTCACTCCATTCCACCCTCTTGACACTGTCCCTTCTTTCCCTGCACAAGGATTCCTGGACACATCCATCACAGGATGGTTTGCTAAAATACCCACCTGGATGTGCATAATGCCAAGGCTGTCACCCCCTGCTCTGGCCACTCTTCTAACCCTGTCCCAAAAGGCTCAACACCCTCAAACATTCCCTTTTGCCATGCAATGCACGTGCTTGCGTTTCTTGCTATAAAACACTACAATGGGCTGCATCCCAGTGATCTCTTACTCCAAACACTTCAAATCCAAAAGAACAAAATGGGATCCAGAGCCTGTTGCACCCAACAGCACGAGGAGGGGGTCAGTGCATGCAAACACTGAGCAGACTGGACAGGAACCAGTGGATAACCCCCAGAAGAGCAGCCAGGCAAGCGAGAGTCACTGTAGGCTGAAGCCTTTCAAACAGAAAGCTGCTGCTCACTGAGTGCCTGTGTTTAAAGATGCTTTAAGCTTTTCTTGCTGTTTTGACTTTTTCAGAACCTGAGGCGGGAGAGGTGTCCCCCCCAGTGGGAGCTGGTGTGAACAGCAACAGCTGGACCTTTAAATTTGGACCGGGCAATTCCAAACAAGGTGGTCCTGGTGAGTTGCCAGACAAATTCATTATCCCAGGATCTCCTGCAATCATCTCCATCCGGCAGGAGCCACCAAACAGCCAAATTGACAAAAGTGACTTCATAACCTTTGGCAAGAAAGAAGAAACCAAGAAAAAGAAGAAAAAGAAGAAGGGAAACAAGACTCAGGAGAAAAAAGAAAAGGGCAACAGCACCACTGAGAACAGTGACCAGTGAGGGAGTTATACTGAAAAAAACCCTCTTAGCCAGTTTTTGTAATAATGGCAGATTTCTCCTATGTAGCAAATCCCAACTTCTTCCTACTGTTAACAAATTTCCTGTATGTACAGACTTGAGAAAATCAGCAGGAAATTCAGTGTCTGTCTAAATTGCTTAACAGGTTTTGTCTTAAAAGCTTTATTAAGTCTGGTGTTAACTCTTTTTCTCCACTCTGGCTTGTTTTCAGAATCTAAAAAGCAGACACAAGTTTCCTTTCTCCTACGCCGAAAAGGAGAATCTTCACAGTACAGCCAGTGAGAGGTTGGACTCTGCACTGTGGTTCCTGTGCTCCTGTCTTGATGACACTTACAGGATAGGTTTAAAAGTTTTAATGTTTTGCACCCTCTATCTGATTGGAAATATTTGTGTGCAGATGTCAGCTAGGTGATATGAGATCAGATTATAAAATGCAAGAAGAGCTGGTAAATATGCAACAGAGGAAACACCTAATGAACACAAATGTTCAAAGATGTTCAGGCTGGGGAGAAAATGTCTTAAAGGAGATGAGCAGACTTGTCAAATCCTGAGAAGTCACTGTGTGGAAATACTGACTCCTATACATGACGTATTGTACACACTGCTTCAAATGAAACCTCACATTTACAGCTCTTTAAGACACCATAAATTCTATCTCTTTACCAAGCAAGCCATTGGAAAAATTGTCTCTTAAAGCCCTGCATTACCCTGGTAAGGCTAGCCCTCAGAGAGTAAGAAGGGCTGAGCTGACATCCCAGGAATGTAACTGTGATGCTGTGTGTCCCTATTTCCACATTATTTTGCACATAATGTCTCTGAAAAGGTCAGAGTTTTTCCACGACACTTATGCAAAAGAGAGAAAAAAGTAACATTAACTATGCTATTTGTTATTTGAGATATTTATTTATAAAGAAATATAGCTGTAAATGTTAAAGAAATATGATGCCCTTTAACCCAAACAGAAGTCAAATCTAGAGCCATTATAAATTACAATTGCTGCTATTAAAGTGCTTTAGAAAAATTGCCTGAAACATCTGTATTATATCGGCCACTTGCCAATAACAGCTTTATTCTGTCGGGTGACTTGGGGGCTGCCTCTTGCATGTATTAATAAATACAAGAATATCTTCTCTTTTTTTTTTTTTTTTTTTTTTTTTTTTTTTTTTTTTTTTTTTTTTTTTTTTTTTTTGCATTATTCTGCACTTTGAATACACTTTTGCAAACAAACTGTTCTAATATGAAGAAGCAGAAGCAAACTCCTCACACAGATGGATTTATTAACCTGCTAGCTCTGTGCAGTACCTTGGTGTTACCTCCCACACGACCTTTTCTGATTTTAGTTTTACTTTTCTATGAGATTATGAATTTCTGACCCTACTAACACTCCTTATGTAAAATTAAAGTACTGTATGTATGCTGTATGCTCTTATAAGAATCCTGAAATATTTATTCTGTGCTTGTGTATGTGAATGTCAATGCAACTATTATTAGAGTGGACTTTAAGCTTTACCGTTGAATGTAAATTCATTATTTCTTTTTTGTACACTTGTGGAAAAGTGGAGTAGTGTTAATTTTTTAAGCCACTGTTGATTATCAGTTTTTTTGTGTATGAAACACAAGTAAAATATCTTTCTTAAACCAAGCCATGCATGCATTTTGGGATTTATTGGTAAGAATCTGTGAAGCTGAAGTTCTGTGAATTACTAAAATTAAGGGTATAAATGGAGTATTGAATGTGGTTGAGGATGTTGAATAAAACCAATACATGTATTTTTAAATAGAATATAGCTGATGAGGGAATTCCAAGGAGTTTTCTACATTATTGTACATTCACAGAATAAAGCTCAAGTGTCGTGTTAATTGGAACTGTGTAAGAAACTACATAGCTCTGAAATTTCCAAAGGCCCTTTAATCTAGGATCAAAGAGAACAACTGGATTTCTTGAGACATGTCCTGGATGTTTTAAGTTTCCAAACTGCTGACAGTTCAGAGTAGAACAATCCCTATTCATTTTTAAGAACCTGCAGCAAATCTTAAAACATCACAGCAAAGCTCTAATAAAAGAATCCATATCTCAAAGCATGAACCACCAATGGCCTCATGTGGTCTATTTAGAGTCTTCTTTTGTTACCAGTCTTGTCTTACTGACAATAAAAAGGTGCTACTTAAGAAAGAGAATCCTTGATTCACTTTTAAAGGCTAGACAAGAGAAAAAAAAAAACTTAAGCTTTGGAGACGGAACTGTTCTTTTATGCAAATGTGCTATGCAAGTACATTTAGGTGTTTATTTTTATTTGGTGACTAATCCAACAGCTCCCAAAACGTTCATCAGCTGTAGTTACAGTGGTAGTTTAAACACTCAGAGAATACTCTTGTTATGTATTCATCATAAAATAGTTCTCTCAATGCCTCTGGCAAAAATTCAGCAAGAAGATTTAATTCTTACAGGAATCTTTTACACTTGATTATTTTTAGATTTTAATTGAATATTGGTTTTTCTTTTGAGTGCTTGCATTTTCCCCTATGCAAGCCAGTCTGACTCATTCATTTTTCATCAGTGGCCATACACAACTGGTTTTCCAAGGCTTGCATCTATTAGAATGAACCAAAAGCTGCAGTATGTCTCCAATTTGCTGGTCTTAACACAAAATTACATTTACCAATGCTGCCTTTGTTGCAGGTACTTTCTATGTGCTTGCATGCCTGGGGAGACAAAACAATCTGAAGATAATCATTCCAGCATGATTATCAATGATGATAATCATTCCAGTCTGGAAAGCTGACAGAACAGAGAAAGAACTCTCAGAGGAGAGGAGGAGCTCTTGCTGGAATTGTTTGAAAAGAGGCTGGGTTGCACTAGGAGGGTATACATCCCACACACTCACTGTGTTTTCTGAATACTGAATCATGCACCTCACCAGATTTTATAAAGATTTTTCTGTACTTGGACCCGCTGGGACAACTGCAATGCTGAGATGTCTACAGTGAAATTTGGCTATTTCATAACTAATATACAAATTATACCATTGACATCCTTGATTTTGGGTGTCCATGAGGAGAAACCCTTGGCAAGAATTTGGAGGACCAGGGGTAGGTGGGGGCAGGATTCCACCACAGTTTTGGGGTTACTGTTTTAGCCACACAACAATAGAAATTGAGAACTAGAGGTGGCCAATAACAGCACAAATTAAGAAAAAATTCTTTAATCCTCCTGCTGACAATGAAATGAGCACGACAAAATACACTGCAGACTTTGCTAACAAGGAAATTACAGTTTTGGGGCTTTTTACCACTTGAACAATTTATGTCTTTCAGAATCCATATATATTCTCCGTGAGCATTTTGTCTTTGGAAGTCTGGTTTCTATGCATACAAGATCAGTGATGAAAACTATTGGGCTTTTATAACAATAAACCTGAGCTATGTTGTATATTTATTACATCCTGTCATTAAAAATAATCTCATTTTACATTAGGCTTCTAAGACTTAGTCTTGTGCAGTTTCTTTCTGCTCAGTCCATGGCTCATTGCACATCATACAAGGGGATCTGATTAAAAGTTTTCCAGTCTTCTCACATCAGAGGAAGAACACAGAACCTAAAATGCCTTTCCCAAATTTCATATAAGAAGATCAGTCACTAAATTAATTGCAGGTAGTTTTGATACCTTTTAGAATCTCCTGTCATTTCTGCTTCTACTTCACTCATTCAAGATCTGCTTTACAACTGGGTAAAATAAACCAGGTACAATTTTCCTTCCAAATCCAATTCTCTCCTAGCAGCAGTTTTGTGGATCCTGTGTAAGACAAATATTAAGGAAGGAGCTGAGCCATTTTCCTCATTTGAGTCCTAAAGAAGGAGCAGGTTCCTCAGTTTTGTTGTTATTTGATTGCTTGGAAACTACTGACTGTTCTTCCACACCTTTTCAAGACAGTGCCAAGAGCCCTGTGTTCTGTTAAGGCTCCTGTAAATATGCAGAAACATCACTTTAATCAAAAGTCTGGTTTTGGGAAGTGAGTGTACCCTGAAATCCTTTGGTTTCTTCCTTTACAAGTCTCTGAAGGAGAAAAGAATGTACAGCTGACAATGCTTTGGTATCACCCACAGCTGAATCTGCGTGAAGCAAATAGCTGCTCAGAAAAGCAGAGCTGAGGGCTCCAAGCACAGCAGTAATAAATCCTGGATGTGAAGGGCTTCATGTGGTGGCTGGAATCAGAATTAGGCTCACACATGCCTGAGTGCCTGGCTTGGCTGCACCAAAACTGAGCAGACAGAGAATGCAGAGCACAGCTCGAACAGAATAAATGCTTTATCACACTGAACTGACCTTGTGCAGCTTTAACTAGCATGCTATGGAATCAATATTGATAGCATATACATTAATTTTCCATTAGCTCTGCACACAGAGATGCTGTGCTCTCTACTCTCCCGGGTTCATTCTCCTCTCTCTGAGTCCCCAGAGGGATCCCTGGAGGATCCAGTGTCACTGCTCTGCATTTGCAGGGTGGGGGTGTGTTTATCCAAGCATTTCCAGACAGCCCTGTCCTGGGCTCATCCCAGGGCGTGGCCTTCAAGGGAGGGGATTCTGCCCCTGTGCTCAGGTGAGCCCCCAGCTGCAGAGCTGCCCCAGCCCTGTCCCAGCACAGGAGGAGCTGGAGCTGCTGGAGCCAGGCCAGAGGAGGCTCCAGGATGAGCAGAGGATGGAGCAGCTCTGCTGGCAGGAAAGGCTGGCACAGCTGGGATTGTTCACCTGGAGAGGAGAAGCTTTGGGCTGAGCTCAGGGTGGCCCTGCAGGGCCTGAAGGGAGCTGGCAAGAAAGATGGAGAGAAAGAATTTCCAAGGGTCTGGAGTGACAGGACAAGGGAAATAGCTTCAAACTAAGAGATTGTCAGTTTAGATTATATGTTAAAGAAAAAACCTTCCCTGTGAGGGTGGGGAGGCCCTGGCATAGGCTGGGTGGGGTTTGGAGCAATCTGGTCTAGTGGAATGTGTCCTTGCCCATAACAGAGGGGTGGAACTAGATCATACTTAAGGTTCCTTCCAACCCAAACCATTCTATGACTGTATATATAAAAATCTGGGACATGGTTATATTGTTGTACAGAAAACTTCAATGCCCACTGTCAGTGATGATACTGCTTAGGTATCATGAAAATCTGATTTTTTTCAAAGTGATTCTGATATGGTGACATTAGGTACCTACTTCTAGAATATTTGTAATTCAGGTGCCTTAGGCTGGCTTAGAGAACTAATGAATGAAATCCTTCAGCATGAAGTACCACAGAATTATCTCTGTGGTGAGAAGAGCATATCTTACACTGCACCATGGATTCCCTTTCATAACCCAGGACAGCCTCCATGAAATCACTCTGACACAGGTATTAACATCAAAAGATGACAGAGATGTGGTGAAGTAAACATCTCTCAGAACACCACACAGCTTGAAAATATGAAAAATGTTTGCCTGGCAGTGGTGCCCAGAGCTGTGTCACTGTTGTCTGCAGGTGACTCATCCACATTTAGGAACTGATGTCTGAAGCACATTACAAAACAGACATGCTAGGCTTGAAAACCAGATTTTAAAACCTTGACAGAAGAGCAGAAATACTAAGCTGGCCTTCACACCAAATAGAGCAGCCCTAAGTCTGTGTCCCAGGAATCCTGAAAAGAAAATCCCATTTATGCTTCCAGGTGGGAAAGGTTCTCCTCCAGGCATACCATGGCAACAGGCACATAAATGGGGTGTTGGGGACACCTGTGGGGCACAGTGCTCGCTGAAGTGTGGCCATGTCACCAAGGTGCCATCCCAGGAGTCATGCCTGAACCTGAAGCAAGTGTGAGGCCCTGAAGGGCTCCCTGGAGCTCAGCAGTGTGGGGTGCATCACTGCTGGGGCATTAGATGTGATTTCAGGCTTCAGCACTGAGGTGGGGTAACACAACTGGCCCTGGCAGCCCCGTTCCAGCTCCTTTGGCAATATTTTATGGACACCTCGAGTGTCTTGGCACCACTTGAGCTGCACTGAGGAGAATTAGAAAGTCCTTGCCCATTAATTACAGGAATGGTGCTGCACAACAAGGCTGACAAGATGTAGTAATTGTTCAAACACATCAATCACAGCCAGCCTAGACTTTTAATCCTGTAATAGTTTTCCTGTTAGATAAATCCTTCAGCTTTCCAGTGGCTCAAATTCTGCTTAGTGCAGACTCAGTGGGAGCAATGTGTGTGGTTCTGGGGGAAGCTAGACTGAAAATATCCTAAGCAAGGCCCCAGTGTGTCTTAGCCCCCATTGAGGGAGGCATGAATCACTCCCTACCTTGAAGAACTTCCTTCTGTGGGTGTTTAAAGAAGCCTGAAGTCTCTCAGTGGAGTGATGTGCTGAGCAATTACAAATCAAACCAACTCTGTACTCTAGGACTTAAGGTCTTCCATATGTTCCCACTTCTACCCCCGAATTATCGAATTATCGATGCTGTTCAAGCCTTTACTGGCTGATGTCCAACTTCCTCATCATCACCTGTGCTGCAAACAGCCTTAGGCTCACTGAGGACCCAGAATCTTGTTCCATGGGCTAGCACAAGAGGCTCAGGACCTGTCTAGAGCAGCTTTTTCAGCCTGGCTCTTCCCAGATGCTCTGAACCCCAGCTGTGAGCAGTTTCATCCAGCACAGGATAAGGGGCTTATCCTTGCTGAACTTGCTCTCACCTTTCTCCTTCAGTATAGAAGTTTCCTGAGGAGTATGCTAGATAAGAGACAAGCCTAAAATAATGAAAAAACTAGCCTAAAATCTGCTTGTCTTCTTACATGCTTAAAAGGGGATTATGCAACACTTAGGTACTGACATGTGAGGAAATGATCCACAAAGCTCCTGATGGGTGTTTACACAATAAGGAGGATCTGCCAAACCCTAAGGGTGTGTAAATTGTGTTAGTCCAGCTACTTGTAGACTCAGAAAGTTCTTTGTACAAGTATAAGCAGCCACCAAGCATCACCAAAGCTACCTTAATCTTTCCAAAGCCACATGTAACAATCTCTTGTTAATCTACTTTAGTGCAGTCACAATATAGCTACAATCCTGAAGATGAGCTGCATCTTACCCCAAACGGTGACTGCACTGAAAATGGCAGGCACAAATACCTCCTTCTGTTCTCAAGGAAGAAATGACACAAAAAGGTGAAACCAGTTTTATTTTATCCTCAGGCTCCCTTCAAATGCACAAGAGTAGGTCTCAGCTGGCCACATTGAGTCAGATTCTGAGCAGCAACACCAGCAAAGAGATATATATTAGCTAGAAAGTGATAAAAGGGTTATGTGACTGAATTCTTTCACAACATTAGAAGGTACCAGAGATTGGAGGTGTGACAGGTCAGTCCAGGTCACTCAATGCACTTACTTTCAGTCACAGGGAGTGGCTGGTCTGCTTACAGAGCTCGCTAATGGCCCCCTGGGTCAAGCAGGCTTTCACAAATGCACAGCCCTTATCATCTTTAAAGCCGTCAAATATGCTGTTGGGCCCATGGCAGGAGCTGCTGACCTGTGAGTTATATTGCTCCTTTCTTTTAGTATCTAAGAAAATGATTAGAATTCCTATGAAGCACCTTAGCCCAGGCCCTTCCTGTGCCCTGCTGGGCTCCTGTGACCCTGCCAGGCCGGGTAGGTTCAGTCATTGATGTGCACAAAGGCTCCTGCAAAGCAGAACAGGATATTGCAGTGCTGTAATGCCAAAGCCTTCCCAGCCTGATCAATATTGATGGTGCAGTTAGTTCTGCATTGATTAACTTCCAGAGCAAAACCCCTCTAATAAATGAGTTATGTGGTGAAGCTCTGCTGCCACCGTGGCTGCCAGAGCCATGCAGCTGTGTGAGATAAGAACTAGGTCACAGGCAGAGTGCAGGTGTGTGTGCAGCCCAGATGTTCCATTGTGCCATGAGCACTCACAGGGGCTGCAGGCCCCACGTGTCAGAATATGAGGTATTGATGATTCCCAGATTGTAGAAAGTCTCTGTCTTTCTGCCCCTCTGCCAAAGAAGAAGCCATAATTGGTCTGTGCTGGTTTCCAGGTTGTTTATTCTGTTTATCTCTAACATGTTCTGCTGCCCTGCCCAGCTCTGTCCTGCAGGGCAGCGTGTGGGGCTCTGCCCTCAGTGGGATGTTACAAACATTAAATACCAGAAACTCCCTGGGCTGGATTTACAAGAACGTGCCAATATCTGTCACCTACGTTGGACAGTGTGTCCCCAGCCTGAACCAACAGAAAAATGCCAACACCACAGTGACACATGGAGGGCATGAAGAAGGAGAAAAAGGACAAGGCACACCCAATTTCCTCCATCTTGTCCCCTTTGGACCCCTCATCTAGAATCCTAAAATTTTACTTTTGCACCCATGCCACACTTAATTATGACTCATATCAAACACTCAGAGCTAGTAATTCATCCTGTAAGATTGAAAACTCTTTTCCATGGACA